TTAATGGCTTAAAAGCATCCCATAATGTGAATTTATCATAATTCATCTAACCACTAATTTGGGAAACATCTACCTCGCTCTAAAATCAGCACTGTCTCTGGGGGCAGTGGAAACATGTGGAGTGACCAGACATTCCCTGTCCAGGGCTCACTTCAACCTCAGTGATGTGGGTGGCCTCAAGAAGCAGAGCCTACCTGAGCATGGAAGGGGAAATTAAACATTGGAAAGTGTTATAATTTCAGCAAACTAGATCAATGTTGATGGTGTAGGTGGCACAATGGGAAACAAGCTTTATGCGGCAGCTTGAGGGGTGGGGTAAAGAGAGGAAACAGAATCTGAACGTGAGACAACTGGTCTCAAGGCGAGTGAGCAGGAGACTGGAGCTGGGGGGCGAGCAGTCCATGCTGGCACGCCCACCCTCCCTCACTTCCCTCCACTTCTCTAATGTGAGGGCTCTGAGTGCATTCCATGATGACAGAATCCATCAGTTTGGAAGGAAAGGTGGAAAGCACACTAGGGAGAGGGAACAGTGCAGAGAGCCAGCCTGGGCAGGTGGAGGGAGGCTGGGCTTCTGCCCGTGACTTAGTGGCATTACCCTGAGAAAGGAGGAAGGAGTGGCATCACCTACACACGTGTTGGGTGGATGTGGAAGAGCTTGCAGGTTTGAGATGTTGTGTGTAATTAGCTATTTTGTATGAAAAATAGAGGGAAACCGGGAGAGTTACTTACATCCAATGACTAGGGCAGGTGGGATTTCGATGGGAGCCTAGCGCCGTGGGGTGACTGTAGCAGCTTCAAGGTGATAGATCACCCAAGTGTCAAGGGACAAGTTGGGTTGAAGTGTCCCAAGCCAAACCCAGAGACTCCTGGCTGCTGCTGGGGCGGCCGCCTCACTTCTCCCTTCCTCTTGTCTCAGTACCACAGGGGCGGCCCCATCATTGCCGTGCAGGTAGAGAACGAGTATGGTTCTTTTGGAAAGGATAAAAGGTACATGCCTTATCTTCAAAAGGTAAGAAACACTTGGGTTCCGCTCACACATGCGTCCTTTCTCGATCTGTCTCTTTTCAGCATTTCCGCTGCTTGGGCAATTCCTTTAGGCCCTGTGGGCTGTGAACTTATGAGACTGAGTTCAGTTTTTCTGTGAATCTATGGTCAAGGCAATCAGGCTGTCACTTGAATAACTTTATGATGAGATAAAGCAGACTGTTAAAGATGCTCACTTGCTCTGCTGATCTCTGTGCCCACAGTTCTCATTCCAGCAGGGGAGAATCCCCAGCCATAGTGAAGAGATCATCAACTTAGAGATGACAGCCATCAGCTTGCAGCTTTCTGAACTGGAGTAATAAACACGTTTCTTCTGTTGCTCTTGCTCGTCTACCTGGCCTGGGGGTGCAGATCCGCAGGCCTGGCGGTGCCCCTTCTGCGGGTTGCCCCCCATGCCCCTGGCTTACCACACGCAGGAAGTTAATACATGGAAGCCTGGGCCTCCTTCCAGGTGGCCAAGCAGGAGCCAGGGGTCCCATGTTAGCTCTGTCCACAGCGACCATCTGGAAGGGGGCCAGGGCTCCTGATATGTGGCTGTCGCTTCTGCATCCGGACGAGGCCTGTGAGCTTTCTGCTGACCCTCCTCAGAGGCAGACAGCAGTCTCATTCAGCTGGCATTACGTTTTCATTGTTATTTATTTATTTTCATTATTTTTTATTTTATTTTTAACATTTATTTGTTTATTTATTTATTTTTACACCTTTCTTCATTTTGTGCATTTTTTTCATTGAGACTGTAATCTCTTTGGACGTCCCACCGCCAGTTCACCCATGTGCCATCATTACAGTCCCGTGTGCTCTTCTGCCCAAGTTTTGACCCTATTTCCTTCTCCACCCCTGTAGAATGTCTCTGTTTATGTCTCTGTTGTTAGTGTTTTTCTTTCTGGCTTATATGACTAAGTATGATCCCTCCCAGCTCCATCCATGTTGCTGCAAAAGGCATGAGTTTATCAGTTTTAATCGCTAAGTAATATTCCCTTGGGTATATGTACCACATCTTGTTTTCATGATTTTTAGAATGTGCCATGTCTGCCCCTCTCCCAGGGCCAGCTATCCCTCGGTGACCATGTAGACACATAGGACTCTGGCCCTCCATCTGCTCTCTGTGCCCTTCCTGAAGCCTTTTCAGGCATCCTTTGACAGTGCCAAGAGGGCCTTGTGTTTTGTGAACTTCACCTCTGATATTCCTTAGCACCCACAGACTCGGCCGCTTCCTTCAAGCACAGTCATTTCTCTTCTGCATGTTGCTTCCCAAGGCACAGCTCAGCCTTGCATTTTTCCTCTCATGGCTGTGAGCATGGGATGTCGGATTTCAGAACCTGCACTCAGTTGCTTTGGTGGTGACCTCTGGGAGAAACACCAGGCCCAGACAGATGGCGACCCCCAATGTGCTGAGCTGCAGGGTCCAAACTGAAACATTTCTCTACAGCCCCTGTACTGTGCAGCCAAGCCCAGTGGTATTTACTTGCCAATTTCCTTCTTTTCATGGGAGGAAGGAAAGTGGGCTCATTTCATTCAGTTTTCTCAACAGGCCCTGCTGAAGAGAGGAATTGTAGAGATGCTCTTGACCTCGGACAATGAGAAAGAACTGCGAAAAGGCTCCATCAAAGGAGGTACTGATTTAGATTTGTTGTCAGAGAGAATGGAGGCTGTCAGCCAGCCAGTGTAAATCTTGAACACATTTCAGGAGGAACAGCTTGTGTCTGGAATCCCCCTCTTCCATGATATTGAAGTGGACCCTGGAAACTTGATATTTTTGCAGATGAAGACTTGAGGTCAAAGTGAAAGGCTCACATCCAACTCAAGGGCTTTCCCTTGCCCCTCTTGTCTTCAAACACAGTAGTCATGCACTCTGTCTGCAGGACAACTTCCCAACTTTCCTTATTTTTCTGCAGCTAAGAAGGTTAAGACGAAGCATCAGTCAAGATTTGGGTCTTCCTGCCCAGATCAAGAACCACACGAAGAAGCCAAGGAGGGAAGCATTAGGAAACCAGCCTAGGCCAAGGCTCTGTCCAGGGCTGTCATTAGTCTGAGATTCAGTGTGTGTCTAGGTGGGTTCTAGACAAGCCAGTAGCAGAACAGTCCAGAACAGAATCTTGAGATGTTGACAGTGACAGAAAATCGGGGGTATGAGCACTCAGATGCTTTCAGGTTGTCCTCAGCTCAAGTTCCACTGCTTCCATGTTGCGCTGTTCTTGCCTCCTTTCTGTGGATCTTCCCCTCTTTTTCATGGCACAAAAAATGTACTGAAATTTGGGTTGGAAACTGACATTAAATTGTGGACCTAATAAGTTGGTCTATTCCGCTTTTCTGCACAAAATATGGTCTAATATCCACTGTCCTTACATCATGTTGTCCAAGTATCCAATGATGTGAGGACAGACCTAAGAGCATTTTGTGCACTGAAAAGTGGGATACACATGGATTCTTGCTGTCCTTACCTCTTGGCAAGCTCTCCTGTGTGTGCAGGTGTGGGCCTCCATCCCTCTTGGCAGCGTGGGCACACAGAACCTCACGGGGCACGTCTCCCTGTCTCTGCAGTGCTGGCCACCATCAATATGAAGACGTTGCATGAGAATGTGTTCAAGCAGCTTCATAAGCTGCAGGTAAGAACATTTTAGAGCTGAAGCGTCTTTGTACCTCTCTTGCCATCACCCCTTCTGCTTCCTCTGCCCCTGTTGCCTGGGTAGCTGGCCTGGCAAGCGTGGGGACAGGAGGCTTGACAGGAAGACTACAGCTCCTCCCTGGGCTTCAGCTGGGGTCCCAGGTTTGGGAAGTTTTTGCATTTTGGGCAAGGGGAGTGGGGAAGAGAGCATGCTTCTCTCACCTATTAGTGCAGTACTTCATGGTGGTAACCTGAGAAGAGTGAGAGGTCTTTGCCAGGAAAATCAGAGGGAGAGGACATTCTCACCTCTGTGAGGACAGAGCTCAGAATTGGGCTACATGTGCTGAGGGAGGACTCACTGGCTGTTAGCCAGGTTGTGCAGACTATGGTGAGTGACTCAGCAGCAGGAATTCATTTTAGCTAGATTGAGCAGCTCCTGATTTCCTTGGTCACCCACCAAAAGTTATTGGCCCTGCTTCAGATAGTGTGTCCTTCCTCCACAGAACTGGGAGAGCTCTTCCAGGTGGAGCATGATTGAGCTTTCCTTTGCTTAACACGCTTTCCTGAGTTTCTCCTGTGCCTGGATAACACCCAAATCCGTGCTGTGGCCTACACCGCCAGGTGTGGCCGGGGTCATAGTCTCACTCCCAACCTTAGCCCCACTGCTCTTCCCCTCAGGCCAGAGGCCTTCTTCTGTGCCTCAGGCTGGCCCTCTGTAGGTCCTGCGTATACTTTCTCCAGCCTCACCTCAGCCTCACTCCCTCCTGTGCACCTTTTAATACAAGAGCTTCTGAACCTTATTTCCTTTTCTCACTATTTTCACAATTCCACAACCTAGTGTCCACAAACTAGTAGTTCAGCTCACACCTGGATTTGAGTGGTGCCAGTGCCACCTCTGGGCCTCAATTTCTACTTGAGGAATTGCCATCAGATCCTTGTGTATACACAGCAGACTCTTGCAACACCAGCCTCACCTACTACAAGGTTGGAATTACTGGTGGCGCTATCCAGGGGTGACAGGGAGGGACATAAGGTTGGAAGGAGTCGGGAGGACTTGGTTATTTAGGAGGAGTGGAGAAATGAACGCTGTGGATGATGGCGGCATTATGATGAGTAGGGGCGAGGGAGGGAAGTGCTTAACTGGACGAAGCAAAAAGCATGAGCTCCTCGAATATTATCTGTTGTATTCAGTTCTTCTGATTTTTTTTCTCTTCTCTTTTTTTTGGACTGAATATTTGATATGGTTTGCTTCTAGCCAAATAAGCCCATTTTGATTATGGAATACTGGGTTGGCTGGTTCGACACTTGGGGCTCTGAACACGCTGGTACAAGTGCTGAGGGTAAGTGTTTTGTAGTGTTTGATCCCAAACAGAGATGATGCTAAGTCATGGGTTATTCATACATTTCTCATTTCAACCAACCTCAGTTATTCATTCAACTCTATTAGTTATAACTTGGCCAGGAGAAAGGGTGTACTGGTGAATAAAAATTAGATTATTTCCCCTACCCTCAGGGAGCTTGTAATGTAGTGGAGTTGCCAGATTGTTAAGGAATAGAGCCATCAGAATGTAGTGTCACATCTGACAAGTGCCTAGAAGCAAGCAAACAGGTGTGGTGATAGAAAAGTCTGGGGCAGAGCTACTGAGGCTGGAAGCCTGTCATAGAGAGGGTTGCTGAAAAGGTAACATCTATGAAAGAGGAGATGCATTTGTTAGAAACGGTAACCCTAGAAAATGCAAGGCCACTTCTCTTACCTCCAGTAAGAGGTAGTAATTCTCCAGGGATCACATGCAATGATGGTTGAGAACGTAGGTCCTGTAGCCAAGGAGACAAGGACTCCACTCCCAGCTTTGCAGCATTAACTAACTGCAGGACCCAAGACAGTCTCCTCGACATCTGAGTCTCAGTATCTTATGGAAATATGGCTATTATGTAGCCAATCTCATGGGGCTGTCATGAAAAATAAATATGGCAATGCATACAAGTCACTCAAGTGTAGTGCTTGGCAGAGCTTAATAAAAGGATTTGATGCTAAAGATATTTGGCTGCTACACAAATAAGTTCACTTGTAACTGATGAAAAGAAAACCGTTGAAAATTATCATGTAACTGAGAAAGCTTGATTTGGGGTGATAATAAACAAGCCACCACTAACAACCAAGTTTTCTCATTCTTGTGCATCAGGCATTAGGTTATGCTTCTTAATATCTTCTCTCATTAATCCTAGGATGTATTAAGTTTGGAGCCAAGTTATGTTCATATTCTGGGAAGGAATATATTTTTAAAGGTTCTAGATATTGACAAATATTCCTACAGTAGTCCCCTAAGAGTTTCCTAGAGTAGTTGTGGTCAATTCTATCCATTTTCTAGTTAGAATCTTAATGGAAGTTGAAAGACAAATTATTGAAAAGCAATTTAGTTGATAATGGGGGTTGGGTTGGAAATGATAAAATTCCAGGGAGACTTCTGTCTTCTTTTAACTTTTTCCTTTTTATATGTTCTCATCTTCCTCCTCTACAGATGTGGAAAACACTGTGTCTGAGTTTATCAAGTTAGAGATCTCCTTCAATGCGTATATGTTCCATGGTGGAACCAACTTCGGGTTCATAAATGGGGCCACAAATTTGGGGACATACAAAAGTGTTACCACTAGCTATGGCAAGTGCTCACTGATATGGTCACCTCTGGCACCTTCTAGGTGGTGCTGCAACTTTGCAGAGGAACCTCTGACATCACTGGATGCTTGAACTATAATCTGTGCTGAGCAGTGAGAATTTTCCTTTCTTCTGTGATGGGGTTCATATGCCAACCGCAGGCTATTGCTGCAGGAGACAGGAGTGCCTGTGACCCAGAGCCCTGCTTCACTCATCCTGTGTACCAACTCTTTGAAACTTCTAAGACAGAGAGGCTGTAAATGGGACTGCTCAATGGGCACCAGTGGGCACAGTTGGGGACTCCAGACTGAGAAAGGAAAAGAGTATCCATTAGAATGTGAACAGAAGTTTGGGCCCATTGCTATGGCAGCCTCCAGTGCCCAGGAGAGGTGTGGGGATTGTTCCTAGAGTGGACACCCCAGCGTGGGAGGGACTGGGGCTGGGGAAGATGTGCCTTCTTCTGCTTCTCTCTGAGGCCTGCCCCATCTCATGCCAGAAGAGCTAATTAGGGGCATGTTGTGAATGATTGTGGATTGGTGACAATCTCCTGGTGTCTTGCAGACTATGACGCAGTGCTGACAGAGGCCGGGGATTATACTGAAAAGTATTTCAAGCTTCGAAAACTCTTTGGATCTAGCTTAGGTACTCAGGAACCACTTCAATTTGTGGGATGGTCTTAAGAAGTTGAAGGACAAGGAAAGGGAAGGATTTCATCATGGGCAGAAACATGCTTCCCTACTTAAAACTATGTGATATTGCATGTTTTATTGTCCTTTATTGACCTTAGTTTGTTTCTTCACTGGCACGTGAAGACAAAGGTTGCCTCCTATAATGATTGTGAAGATTAAGTTACTATTTGAAAAGCTCATATTATAAAGTATGACATATTATCCTCATATACAATAGCAAAAGTCATCCCATTTATTTGAATAAATTTACTAACCATCTATTATGCTCTAGAAAGTGGGTAACCACTGGCACTGCCACAAAGTGTAAAGTATTGGTTCCCCAAGGGCCCCAGTCTATGGCCAGCATTGCTCTGGCAGGCCTTTTCAGTATAATCCCCGGCCTCTGTCAGAGGCCACTATTTGTGTATACAAATGACCCCAATTTAGTTGCTGCTGCTTATTATTGCTTGGGGAAGTCTATCCATCAAGTAGGACAGGACCCATGTCTCTGTAGACACCGGATATGGAGGAGGGGGAGACTTGGGGTGGTGGCTTGGGATGTTACTTCACACCTATGGCCCTTTTCATTACAGGAACCCCCATGCCCCCCTTACCGCGATCTACTGTCAAGGCTGAGTATCCTGTTGTGAAACCGTTCCTCTACTTGCCACTGTGGGATGTCCTTCAGTACCTAAGTGCAGTGAGTACTGGCTGGACACTGGGATAGGCGGGTGGCCCTAAGAGAGACGGAGAGAAGACTTAGGCCAAGGGGTTGAGATCCCTTGGAGGCCTTTTTACTGGGAAATGTGAAAGCTAATTTACACTTGTCCAAGTGTGACAAAAGAACTTGGGGAGAGGAATCACAAGTACATTCCTTCTGGTGGAATGTGAAGGGGGTTTAATTTGAAAACCGATGGAGGTGGAGGAGAAGCAGAGTATTAGAGGATCTCCTTTGCTAGTTCAGATGAACTCATTTGGTGAATGTTATGCATGGGACCACATGATCCAGATGGGACAGGTTGGGTGAGGAGGAACCCACGTAACAGTTTATGACTCCTCCCACCATCAACTAACTCCCACCATCAAATAACTAAACTCTATAGCTTTTGTTACAGAGTTGAAGAGAGGTGAAAATTGTTGAAAAATGTTAACTCTTCAATTCATATTGGTGTTTACTTCTATAAATATTTTAAATAAAAAGTAGTGACTGTCACATTGTAGATGCTAAATAATAGTTGGCTTAGTGGACAATACTCACCTTCAATTATGTTAAAATACAGCTGACCTACTGTGTTCTTTGTCATGGTTCGCTCTATCATGTCCCTTGATACCCTAATTTTCCTGACCAATTGAGATAAACAGCACAAAACATCATCACATAGCATCTGTCTTAGTATTTCTCATCCTAAGGACTCTTGGGGAAAGTGACATGGGTCTTAGGCCGAAGGATCCTGACTTCTTGCCACCCTGGTTCCTGTTTCTGCCATGTTTTGCTCACAGCCAGTGATATCGAGTACACCAGTGAATATGGAGAATCTCCCAATAAACAATGGAAATGGTCAGTCCTATGGATTCATACTTTATGAGACTCCCATCTGTGTTGGAGGTCTGCTCCATGCAGAGGTTCACGATATAGCACAGGTAGGAGTCAGCAGGCTGTCAATGGAGGTAAGTAGAACATTCAGCCTAACTCTTGAAGAGGCTATTCATTGGTTAACTTTACTATTTGTCATTTTTACCAACTATTATGCGACAGGCATTGGGCATTGGGAGTTTAAAGTCAAACCAAAGAGATCTGCTTTATGCTTTACTACAACTTAAGTTAATTGTGGCTTCCCAGTCTGTGTCCAGCCATTGGTGAGGTCCAAAGCTGGTCTCTTATAATGACCCCATCTCTAAACCTTAGTTTTTCATCTCCTTTCCTTCAGGTGGGCCTATTGTTCAACACCAGCTCTTATTTTACAGGTGTTTGTGAATGAAACATTGATAGGAAGTATGGATGATACTATAAAGAAATTGTACATTCCGGAAATCAAGGTATGTAGTTCAAGAGACCTTAGAAATGCAAACACAGCTTGAGCTACAAAACTACTTTGCTGTTATTCCTCACTTAGGCTTCCAATGGGGAGTGTTTAGGGGTGTAGGCATGGCTCATCAGCCATACCTGGATACACAGGAGCCACAGAACCCATGCTTTAGTGTGAATGAATGGAAGTTCTTCACTAGCCCCTGAATCAATCATCAGACTCTGATCAGGTCTTTGATCCAAGACACACCTGAGTCCCTCTGCCTTGCTTGAGGCAGACCAGCAGAAGAAAAGGAATACTGAGCATGGAAATGCACTCAAAGAGGCCTTCTGAGGAGGGAGCGCTATAGGGCTCTGGAGCTTCCTCTTCTCCCATCTGGGATTTGAAGAGAAGAATGGTTCCAGAGTAAAAGGCCCTTGAGGCCATGTAGTTCTACAAGCTGGTCTATGTCTTACAGGAATGTCAACTTCTAAGGATCCTAGTGGAGAACCAAGGACGGGTCAATTTTTCATGGCAAATACAACAAGAACGGAAAGGTGAGCTTTAAGTGTGAGATACTGGCTGTAATCCCTCTGTATGATTACCTGGACCCTATCATTGGGGCTGTGATGGTATTCAGGGACATAATGAGCCCCCCAGCAGAGGACAACCTAGGCCCTAGGTTTGCAAAGATGCCAACGCCTTCCCTTTTCCTAACCCTGCCTTCTCTCGTTCTCTAGGGTAGGAAAGTGCAGCAGTTATGTAGGGTGCTGGCCTGTCCTGGAGTTCCGTTGGGAATTTCAGAGAAAATTCTAACACTAAGTGGGTAACTCTTGGTGGCATGCAAGCATACAACATGAACCCCTCCATGATAGTTGATCAAATGATTGCCCCGCCTGGTTGAGCCTTGTCACAGGTGTAGACAGTCTGCATTTCTTTGTCCAAGATCCCAGAGACAATTTTCAGGCCCTGTTAATATTCTTTTTAAAAAATTAATTTATTTATACATACAGAACTGGGGAGCAGACTAAAGGTGCAGGGGTGATGAGAGGATTCTTCAGAGACAGAGTGGGGAGCAGAATAGGCAGATAGATGAAGTACACTGCTGAGGGGAGCAGAGAGGTCTGCTGTGCCAATGTGAGTCACCTCTGGGCCTGGGGATTGAACTCGTACTGAAACAACTGTGGCTAGCTTCACAGTGCTGCACTTTAACTGGTTGTACCACCAGGGAGGGCCCCTTTTTCATATTCTTACATTTTTTTTTTTAAGATTCATTTATTTATGCATACAGAACTGGGATACAGGCCAGAGGCGCAGGAGGGTGAGAGGATTCACCAGAGACAGAATGGGGAGCAGAACAGGCTGACTGATGAAGTTTACTGCTTTGGGGAACAGTGGGTGGGTCAGGAGAGGTCTGCCGTGCTCTGTGGATCACCTCTGGGGCAGAGATCAAACTCATGCTGAAGTGGCTTTAGCTTCTTAGTGCTGTGCTTTAACCTGCTGTGCCACCAGGGAGGGCCCATATTCTTACTTTTACCTCTCAGGTTTAATTGGATCTGTTGCCATCAATAACGTTCTTCTGAAGGATTTCGCTATCTATTCTCTGGAAATGAAAAAGAACTTCTTTAAGAGGTATGTTCCAGATTTTAGGGCTTCTAGTCTGATACATCCAGTGAAACAAACTCCTAGTCCCTGGATAGGAGCCCAGTGCTGGAACTGGAGCCGGGAAACGGTTTGCATTCTCCTCCCTCAAGGACTGGCCCTTCTTCCAGGCTCCGCTCTGCTGCCTGGAGGCCTGTCCAACAACACTATGTGGGCCCTGCTTTCTACCTTGGAACCTTGAAGACTGGTTCTTCTCCCATGGACACCTTCCTGAGTCTACCAGTAAGTGAGCCACCCACTTACACCCAATCACCTGTTCTTTTTTTTTTTTTTTTTTAACATGTAATAGTTTATTTTTACATCATTTTGTGCATTTTTCCATCTCATTTGCAACCCCCTTGGGATTCCCATCACCAAATCACCCATGTGCCAACACCATAGTCCACTGCATTTCCCTCCCCCCCCCACCCCACCTGTTCTTTTTTTAAAGAATCTTCAAGCGAAGCCATAGTGTTTCTGGCAGGAATAATTCCCTTTCTATTCTTCACTTCCAACTAAGCTGTTCAACATTTCTAATCTCCCTACTTCAGCTGCTGTTAAAAACAATACATCAAGTGTAAAATTCATTAATACATCAATGGAAAAATTAATGAAGTGGAGAAAGCCAATACTGATGTTATGCTCTTCAAGGCCACTGCTGTTCCAATTCCTCTCTACTCCTTAGAACCAAGCATTGCCAACAGCTTGTGTGGTTTCATTTCTAATTCTGCCTAAAAACATCCACACTTTCTTTTAATACTGGTGGGATTATATCATAATATAAATAAATTACATTCCGCACCTTGCCTTTGGGGGACAATTTTTATCTAGTATATTTTTTATGGATAAACACACATAGCATAAATACACAAAATATGAACTTAAAGATCAGTAAATTATCACAAAATGAAAACAATAAAATTATCATTGGTATAAAAATATGCTATCAGCACCCCTTCCAATCATTGCCTCCTTGACCCCTCAAATTGGAGACAATCCAATTTTTGTCTCCTTGCCCCCCAAAGGTAACCACTGTCTTGATCTAATATTCTAGTGCTTTAGCTCTTTTGAATTACTGTGAATTGAATTTTACATCCCTTCTCCTTTTTCTATATGGCTTCTTTTGTTCAGCATTGTGAAATTCAATAATTTCCTTGTGATGTTTAGTGATTTGTTTTCACTGTGTACAAAATTCCATTTTATAAATATGTCAGACTTGATTAATCATGCTATTGTTGATAGGCACTTGTCTTTTCTTCTAGTTTGGGGCTATTATAACCACACATTTTTTGTGTGTTTATATTCATGACTGAATGAGATACTTTTGTCATACTTTGGGACAAAGGTTGAATACTCATAAATGATTTGGAAAGTACAGTTTGACTAAAATTGGTATGATTTCTTTAGTGTATGATGCATTACATTAGTGAAACATCTGAACCATTTTTTTTTTGTGGGAAAGCTTCTAATTGTGAATTAGATTCCTTTAAGATTAAATGCACTGTTTGTATTACCCTTTTTCTTTAAAAGCTAGAAAGCTAGTTTTGATAAAACATTTTTCTGGGAGTTTTTCCATTTAATGTAATTTTCAAATGCGTTGCATTTACATTATTTCTTCTGTATGTCTACATCATCTGTAGTAACACTTTCTTGATACGTAGCACCTAAAACATTACCAATTTATTACTCTTTCAAAGGATGAATGTTTTTGACTGTGACTCTTACTATATTATTCATTTCTTTTATGTTTCATTTCCACCATTATCTTTATTATTTTGTTTATTCTACTTTCTATCTTAAAGTTATCTGCTTTCTCTTTATAAATTCTTTAGATGGGTCCTTAGAGATTTTGCCTCTTACTTTTTATTTAAGCTTTGATTTGGCTGTACAGTGAGCTCTGGTTGGCTTCTCAGCCATGTCTTCCTGTATAAACAGGTCTGGCTAGTGAAGAAACTGTGTCTGCCTGTCTCTCTATTTTCTGTCCTGAGTTGGTGGTTTTGTAATTCTTTATTGTATTGTAAGTAGAGTTTAAAATATTATGTAGCTTTTATAGCTGATGTCAGCAGTAATGTTAATTCTATTACTCAGCACTTATTTCTGGAAGCAAAAGACCTGCTTAAAAAAAAAAAGTAACAAGACAGGAACAACAGTAGCATTAGCAGGCAGCATTGATTCACAATCTCCTCTGTCATCCCTAGTCTAGGTAGCAGAGAGAAACTCCTAGAAGAGATTCCACTCTAACTCACCATCACACTCAGTGTCATCAGGCATCTCAGCCTCTTACTCACTGCCCAGGTGTCTTAGATTTTACTTTGCTGGTGTGAATCTGTTTCCATTTCTCAATCCTCCATCCCTTCCAGGGCTGGAAATTGGGGTCTGTGTTCATCAATGGAAATCACCTTGGGCGATACTGGAATATTGGACCTCAGGAATCACTGTACCTCCCTGGTGTTTGGCTTCATCCAGAAGACAATGAGGTGAGCCGGTACCTGCCTTCATGTCTCAAAAACATTCAGCTCTGCTCTCACCCCTAAAATGAAAATGCCGTGTCATTCTCATCCTATATTGTACAGACTAACCCTTTCTTACTGTAAGCCTTTTTTATTTTCTTCCTAGATCATCCTGTTTGAAGAAATGATGAGTGGTTCAGACATCCACACCACTCCCAAACCCAAGCGTTTTAAAACTATTCCTTAATATAAAACTATTCCTTAATACATTTCTCATATTGTTGTAGCTCATCTACAAACAGTTTCTCCAGAGGAAGATTTATGCCAAGAATATAAAACATAGGGTTGCATGCAATGGTAAATATATGAAATTAACCTAATAAAACAATAAGAATCAATGTGTATTATTGCATATCCATATAATGGCTATTTTTAGACTTGATAAGGTCTTCAAAATCTTTAATGACTGACTTATCTAGTTAAATGCTTAATCCTTAGTAAGTTCTTAATCTCTGATCAAATGTGCCTTTAGACAAATACAAATAAAATAAAAACAAATTTTATTTCTGTCTCTCTACTCTCAATTGGGAGGAAGGGAAGGGTTTCTAATATGAGAGAGATTATACTTTATGTATGGTGATTGGCAACTCCGTGTGTGTTGGGAGGGATTGAGAGAGAGAGAGATGGAAAGTGTCAAGGGTAGTGAACAATGTCTTCAGGAATTTCCCTGCAGCCTAGTGTCTCCAAGATAACAAGATTATAAATGTGTAGTACATTTCAGATGCACTATATACATCATTCAAAAACTTACCAACCACCATGCCACATCACATACCCATTTTAAAGATGGAAAAGTCATGACTCAAAAAGGTGCTTGACTGCAAGTCTCTTTGCTTTGTACCTCTTTTTTTTTTTGTAATTCTTCTTTTATTATTGCACCTCAGTTTCATACATATTTCAGTCTTTTCCAAGGATGAACATATCCACACTATCCAGAAGATAGTGCTTAGAGAAAAATATCAAGAAAAATAACAATAAAAATGAAACAAAAATAGACTTTTCAGACAAAGTCCCAGGGAGGATATCATCCACAAACTAAAGGGAATTCTGAAACAGCCTTTCTCAACCAGGATACTATAAGAGGATTAAATCTCACAGCTATCAATTTCATATTGTATCATTCCAGATGCGTATGAGGGCAGTCAATTCATTACAAACCATTGACCCCTTAGCTCAGTACTGTTTAAGTCTCTCAGGGAAACCCATTTGATAAGATAATCTAAAGGAGGTACTGCCAACAGAAAGAAAACTACTCCAGAGGGAACACACTAGATTCAAGAATAAACATAGGTGGAAAAAGAAAGTTGGCAAATATGTGAATACATGTGAACATTAGTTCAACAAAGTAGTGTTAATGTCTAATTTGAGTGTAAAATAAGGACAACATATAAAATGATGAAAAATGTCAAAATGAAATGGATGTAATAGCATAAAAAGTAATTTAAGATTTCTGTAATGTTTAGTTATTGATTATATGTTGGCTTATAAGCATGTCAGTAAATTTAGCTTAACTGTTATAAAAGAATGTATACAATGTAGTAAAGCAAACTGGGTAATAGAAAAATTGAAAAACACAAACTAATAAAAGGTAAAATGATAAAGATAGAGAAAGGTAGACTATAAAGTAGTAATAAGAAAATAAGTGATAATAAAAATAAGTGTGAGTGGAAAGCATATATTTAGATAGAAATCAATCAGTAAATTTCTTAAAGGAACTTAACCTTTCAATTAAGTCAAAATTTGCTAGACACAATAAAATTTCTAAGTATGAGTGGGTTTTTTTTTTAAGGTTTTATTTATTTATGCATACAGAACTTGGGTAAAGCCAGAGGTGCAGGATTCCGTGAGAGAATTCACCAGAGACAGAGTGGGGAGCAGAACAGGCAGATGGAGTGACACAAGCTATGTCACTTCTGTCAACTGACAAATTCCGAATGGAAGGGAAAGCTTTGAAAAATAGAATTTCCATTGCTATCTTATGTCACGACCTCCCTTTTTTGTATGATCATAATATTAAAAATATTCTGAGCAACCATCAGTTTGCAACTGGATTGCCTTAGCTTCATAAATTGGCTAACTGGCCAGAGTCAAGGTACAAGTTAAGGCCGAGCTGTCCCAGGGCAGGAAATTCCTGTCTCCAGAGACAAAAGGCAAGCTCCAGGAGAGATAAGACCCCCCAAGTCATCAAGGCTCCTGGGAAGCTTCCTTGGTCTTTTGAAACAAAAGGCAGACCTTTGATAAAACTCCCAGGGCATAAGGATTCATGGACAATTTCCTAACATTATCGACACAGGTTTTGCTTAATGCATGACTATGTGACTTCCTCTTAATTTACCCTTTCCTTAAACAATCCCTAACTACTCTCTGCTAGTCTTTATTTACCTTTTCCTAAAACAAACACTAACTACTCTCTGCTAGCCTTAAGTTAGCCATTAGCTTCTCTTTTAGACAATCACTGATGACTCTGCTAACACAATCTGTTCCTTCCCTAAGACCCCTAACAATCCTTTGCTAACAACTCATCCTTTCCCAGACCTCTTATCCTTTGAGTCACAGTTAAACATCTGTCTACATGAAGGTTATCACAAATGTGTATAGTCTAGTATGCCATAAAGTGTCAGGAAGAAGATGCATTTTCCCGCTCTTCTTTGAGAACTTTTATGGTGATTTTGCATTAACTTACCCTATGTATTATTGTAATTAACTACTTGCTACACAAGTAGTATAAATAAAGACCTGCTAAAAAGATGGGCAGGAAAGACTTGCACCCAACTCCGACCCCCATGTCTTCCTCGCTCCTGCTCCCCCTTCCCCTTTTTAGAATCTCTGTAAGCCAATGCCAATCCCACCTAAAAAGGGTCTGCCCTTCCCTCCTCCCCCCTCCAACAGCTTGTTGAAGTTGGTCACCAACAATGGACAATGGATGAAGTGTACTGCTGAGGGGAGCAGGGGCGTAGGTTAGGAAAGGCCTGCTGTGCCATGTGGATCACCTCCAGGGCTGGGGATCAAACTGCACTGAGGTGGCCACAGCCAGCTTCACAGTACTGTGCCCCAACATGTTGTGCCACCAGGGAGGGCCTTGTTGGAAGAGCACAATATGATTGTCAAAAGATACAAAACCTACCATGAAATTCTTACTAAAAATTTATAATTCTGCAGTTTTTGTATATTATATTAACAAGGTTATGTGCCATCTATATCCACCTCTGTTTTATAACATGGTCATCACCCACCCCCCAAAAAACCTCTATATCCATCATCAGTCATTCCTCATGACTCTCTCTCCCCAACCCCAGCAACCACAAATCTAATTTTATTTCTATGGATTTATATATTCTGAATATTTCATATGTGGATCTTTGTGACTGGCATCTTTCTAATTCATCTATGTGGTAGAATGTGTCAGTACTTTTGACGGCTGGATAATATTTGACTATATTACCATAGCTCATTTAGTTTAACCTTTGAGTTATTTATACATTTGGCACTGTGAATAATTTTACTATGATGCAGAATTTTTTGTGTGGATTAGTATGACTTTAGCAGACACCATTAGGAAACAGAAAACAGAAGTTTGCTATTTTTGTAAGACCTGAAAAGTATACAGAACACCTGGGCAACAGTGAGTTTGCAGGCAGAAAAGGAAAGAAAGTACAGGAGACCGGAGTCTGGTTTTTACTGGAATCAAGAGTGGGACGTCTATTGTTTCATAGACTCAATCTTTTCTGGTGAATCTAAAACATAAAAGGAGGAACTTAAAGTGAAGAGAGATAAAAGAAAGGAAAAGACAAGTAAGTTCTAACTGCCCAGTTTTCTAAATCAAGCAGGAGCCTCAGTAGGGAGGCAGCGTTGCCTTATCTCGCTGTGTAATGCATTTATTTCAGCTAGCCATCTTCCAGGTGGGGGCTGCTTTGATGTGGATGCCTTGGAAATCAAAGCTTGAGTTAGGCACTTGCATGACCGGAAAGAGGAGGGAACTGTGGGAGTGTATGATACACACATCAGAGCAAATATGCTCATACATCTATTGCTATTTTCTATAAACATGGAATTAACACTTCCTTTGCTGAAGTTTTATAGAGTATTTAAAAAATATATATATATATTAGTTCCTATTAAACCTTTTTTATAATCTTGAATAAAGTAAAGGAACAGAGAGTTTCAAAATATCTTCTATGTCATGCAACTTGTTTTTAGTTGACAAGTATTTTCCTTGGTCTGAAATTACCTTTTAAATACAAAGCTGAAAGTTGTGAGTGAAATATCAAACATTGCTAATTCTTACCAATTTAGTTAGCTTTTATAGATTCAAGGGATGAGAAATTACCTTCTTCAAGTATTATTAGCAGTTTGCCTTTTTTAATTTTGATTTGTGAGAAAGGTGCCTGAATTTTGAAATTCATCTTCATAACATTGTTCAGTCTTTATTCTATCTGAATTGAAAGTTACTTATAATAGATGCAGGTGCATATCATTTTGGAGTTTTCTTCCCCATGGTAGTCCCAAAGAATTGGGAAGGTTGGGGGTGGGTGGGTGGAGAGGAAAAGGAAGAAGTTACCAGTGGATTATAAGGGAAGATTATTGGTGCTTTGGCTGTGATAACGTACATTTTAAGAGGTGATCCTCTACTTTTAAATCATATACAGTGTTGCAAACCAAGATTGCTTCAGTCAAAAATCACATATGTGGGGTATCATTTAGGAGAATTAAAATGTATTCCCTGCTCTTTGCTCAGCAAACAAAGGCTGGGTGGTTCCAATAGATAGCCAGACCCAAACGGTTGTCATGAGAAACGAGCTATGACCAGAAAAACCAGCTGGGTTCCAGTAATGCTGAGGCAGAGCCTGGCACATTCTGTGTCAAAAGCCAGTGCCTCAGACCAGATATTGCAGCAGATAACAACTGGCTCAAAGAGGTACCTTGAGTAAGAATTTCTAGAATACAGTATTAAATGAAGAGCCTCAAGAACCTTCCTCAGGGAAGGGGAATAATGCCCCTCGCAGCCCCCTTGCTCACTGATCCCCTCAATGGTGACTTCAATAAATCCACCTTTTCTGCACTCCATCCTGTCTCTGGAGAATTCTTTCATCCCAGAGAACTCAGCCTCAGTAGTTCCCTATGAAAATACTTAATACTACACACAAATGTAAGAAACAGTGTTAAAACCCAAATGCTCTGACAAAATATCAGCTTTCTTTAAAACGTTCTTAATTTTTTGTTGTTGGGATGAGTTTTGGTTGTTACGAAGCATTATTTGTCCACTGATGTGTGGTATATAGAGAAACCAAACAAATGAATAAACTATATAAAACAAAAATGAACTTTGGGCCTATATGACTAATGAGTGGTAACCAGGAGGGAGGAGGTGGGGATGGGGGAACGTTGAGTCAAAGGCATCACTAGTATTATGAAGGATAGAATTGAAATTTAGTGGTGAACTTAATATAGGATCTAAAGGCATTGATTTACAGGACAGAAAGCCCATGCTCACAGTTTATCCTGAAACTTAACATAACATTGTAAGACAATGCTCCTTCAATTAAAAACAAACAAACCCCATAATTTTGGCCCAAACGCCAAATGACATCATTTGTGGTATGTCTGCCAGAATAAGAATTTTATTCGCCTTTTTTTTTTTTTTTATTAAATCCGTGGGTTCTATCTGGACTTAATTTTGGAAGTGCTGGGACTCCAGCACCAGAGCCAGGTTTGTGGAAGCCCAATGTTGATGTTTTATCTGAAAACTCCCTTGCCATGCCAGAAAGCTATCATGTGCAAATCATACTGAACCTAGCAGAACTTCCACAACGTTCTGTGTTTTCATGTACCTCAAAATTATTCTTGGAACTCGAAGTGTTTTAAAAGATTGAGGTGGTTCGGCCGTCGCCTTTAACAGGCTGGCTAAAGTAGCATCGCGAGGGGTGATGGTTTTATTCCAGCGTTAACGAGTTTGCAAACAAGGGCACATGTGTCCAGGACATATCTACCTGTTTGCACATCACGTGCAGAAAGCCAGCTTCTGAAGCTCCCAGCGTGGCTCTAAGGCTGGGAGGCAGGTGACTGTGGCACAACGGAACAAGCGAGCCTGCCGCTGTACAACCCCCTGCCCACTTTTGGCGAAGGATCCGCCCCGGCTACGTGAGGCCCCAGGGCACGGAGGGGCGGGGTGGCAGCCAATGAGCGCCGACTGGCTGGCCAGCAGCGGCCCGGTTGCCCAGGCGACCAGCGCGCGGCTCCGCCCCCCCCCCTCGCGCCGAGCCTCCTGCGCGCATCAGAGTGCAGGCGGAGTGGAAGCCGGGGTCCAGCGTGTCGCGAACGCGCGATGACCACGTGGAGCGTCCGGCGGAGACCCGGCCGCACACTCGGACTGCTGCTGCTGGTGATCTTGAGCTTCCTGGTGCTTCGCAGGTGAGAGAACCCCACTCGTATCTGCCTGACCCCAGACACCCTAGTCCTCCACACCTGTAGTTGTTACCGACCCTCTCACCTAAGGGAGGTGGCTCCTGGACTCCTCCTCTACTGAGACTGGCGAATCCCGAGTTCCCACGGGAAACAGCCCTCCAGTCTCTTTATTCTTGAAGCTTCCTTGCACCCCTAGTCCCTCTGCGCCTTCAGGCACTCTGCTGCTGCCTAGAGATCCAGGCCTCTGGGTGACACCACAGCAGAGCTGCCCTGCCAGTCCCCGGGCGTCAGTTCCCAAGAGTTTCTTTACTCCTCTGCGCCTGTGATACCTGCTTTGCTTTCCTGGTGGATTCTCCCAGACCTTTGGGAAGGTCAGCAGAACTAGCCTTCAGCTCCCACCTGGGTGTCCCTTATCATTGCCCTGCCTCCGCTCCTCCTGGGAACCCCCCTCTGCAGGTCTCCCAGTGCCCATTTCCTATTAAGCCTCTGGAAGACTTCTCAGAGATCCAGAGGAGCCAGGACTCCTGTGCTCTCTGTGCTCAGCGGGTCCTCTAGGGTCTTGGGACTGGATTAATTTGCTGCAATTGTGTTTGTCTTCACTTTCCCACCATTCACAGTCACCAAAGTCACTTTGTGCACATCTTCTGACAAAATGTTGTCTGTGGCAGGTGGTTGGGTTTAGTGATAGAAAAATTTACCCAAATTTTCTCAAACTGTCTATTTATAGGATTCCATAGCTCTGATCAAACATTTCAGGTGGATGCCTGGCACTTTCCATATTCAAAACTGCCAGTGTTCTGGGAAAGCTGATCAGCAGGATCAAATGTATTAGCGCCGAAAGTTAATGCTGGAAAAACTGGAGTCTGGGCCATTGGAACTGGGGCAGGTACCCTACGCTCAGCTTTATCTCTGGCTTCTTTTTATCTCTTTACTTTCTCTAAACTTCCCCAGGGAGATAGGGAGATTTTGGGTGATAATTATCTGAACATTTTTGCTTCCATAAACCCACTCAGACACTCTTCCACCAACCCCCCCCCTTTTTTTTTTTTTAAAGATTTACTTATGTATACAGAACTGGGGTACAGACCAGAGGTACAGGGGTGGTGAGAGGATTCACCAGAGACAGACTGGGGAGCAGAACAGGCAGATTGACAAAGTACACTGCTGAGGGGAGCAGCAGGCGAGTTAGCAGAGGTCTGCTGCACCATGTGGGTCAGCTCTCTGGCCAGGGATCGAATTTGTGCTGCAGTGGCTTTAGAGAGTTTCATAATGTGGTGCTTTAACCCATTGCACCACCAGGGAGAGCCCCATTTACCCCTTTTTAGAACTTTTTTATTTTTAAGATTAATCTATTTATTCATATAGAACTGGGGTACAAGCCAGAGGTACAGGGGTGGTGAGAGGATTTACCAGAGACAGAGTGGGGAGCAGAACAGGCAGAAGTACACTGCTGAGGGGAGCAGTGGGCATGTCAGGTGAGGTCTGCCGTGCCATGTAGGACACCCCCCTAGCCGGGGATCAAACTTATGAAGTGGATGCGGCTAGCTTCGTAGTGCTGTGTGTTAACCGGTTGCACCACCAGGGAGGGCCCCCTTTTCAGAAGTTTTGCCTCTTCTTTGTTTTGGAGGTAGTGAGGATGCCACAGTGTTGTTTGGGAGAAGGAAGAGGTGCTCTCCTCACTCAGAAAATGTAAGAGGCATTTTGTTCCATCAGTTGCTTCTAAGATTTTTTTCATATTGTCTGTGATCTCTAACCCATTCCTTTTTGATGACTTGGCCTGGCCCTCATAGGCTTTTTCAGCCTCCCTCTCCATGCAAAGCTGATGAAAACCCCAGAAGAATTACTCCAGGCATCACATGTTCTGGCCTACGATAGAACATGAAGAAGCTCACACTCTAAAGAGAAAGTTCATGGGGGTGTAGGTTGCATATAGTGGCCTGTGCAGTGAACCCAGAAAGGTCATTATGAGGGGCTTCACAAAAGGACTTGAGGTGGGCCATGTAGTCACCCTAGTAGTCTATGGGAAAAAGAGCCTAGGTGTTTGCTGATGTCTGCTGGGACAGAAGGTGAGGTAGTAGACAGCTGTTGGGCTGTCAAGAAGCCTGCCCTTCTCCAGGGTGAGTTAACCAAGTCCCACCTGGATGTTCCCCAGGGGTTAGCTGCAGAGAACCAAGAGCCAGAGCTCAAGCCTGGGGAAAGAGCTTGAAATGCTTAAGAAGGTCATTGTTTCTCTGCTATTCTTTTCTTTTTCTGCCAGAGATGCTCTCAACCAAGTTTGGTGTCATCCTGTGGGGTCCTTTAGAGGATGTATTTCGGGACATCTTTTGATTCTGTTGCTGTCATGGGCACTTCCGGTGCAGTCCTTCTCTCTGGCTTGATCTGGAATCTGACTGTGATCTCTGGAGGCCAGAGAAGGACTTATTCTTTTCTCCTTCCTCTTCCTGCCAACTTTGGTTGTTAATGTAGTGGGAGGTGGGTGCCTTTCCCACCTGTTGCTGGGAAGTGGATGTGAACATTGGAATATAGGTCATCTGGAAACTGTCTGCTCTACTGGCAGCTTTGTGGAGCTGAGCGGCTGTGATCAGGACCAACCCTTTTCCTGTGCCTCAGAGGGCAGGTGTTTGGGGCAGGGAGGGGCTGCATGACGGGAGCCTTTGTTTCATCCATGAAATTTGCCTTAGGGTGAAGTTCATTGTCAATCATAGGTGTTTGATTATACCATGTCCAGTAAATAGGAAGACCAAGATGGCTTTTGAGGAGGATTTTAACCTTAGGCCACTTTATTGCCAGTGCTGATGTTTTCAAAAAAGTAACCTCAGTGCTGGCCCTCCCTGGTGGCACAGCGGGTTAAAGCACAACACTGAGAATCTAAAGCTGCTTCCACATGAGTTCAATTCCTGCTTGCCCCGGAGGTGACCACATGGCGTGGCAGACTTCTCCTGACCCACCCGCTGCTCCCCTCAGCAGTGTACTTCGTCGATCTGCCTATTCTGTTCCACATTCTGTCTCTGGTGAAGCCTCTCACTGCCCTTGAGCCTCTGGCCTGCACCCCAGTTCTGTATGCACAAATAAATAAATCTTAAAAAAAAAAAAAAGTAACCTCAGTGCAGTGGAATTATCACACTCATCCCCAGCCACTCTGATCTCTTGCTTTCTGCTGTGGGTTAGTGCTTTGCATTTCCTAGAGTTCTGTAGAAATGTAACCCTAAAGTATGTGTTCTTTTTGTGTATTCTTTTGAGGGCTATGATGTGTGTGTCTTCAAGCTGGTTCTCCCATTCTCCTTCCTCCTACTCCATGAACACAAGAATGCCTGCTTGATATTATCAAGACCAGGTTCCCACTCATGGGGTTTGCTTTAAATGCATCACTGAGCATTAATTCAATCAACTCTGTATCTCACATACCTGAGACTTAGCTGGTGAAAGTCAGGAGAAAGGAAGGTCACCAGGTAGGCAGCTATCTCTGCACACTGTGTCTCACTCACTGTCCTGCACCAACCTCCCCTGGACCCAGGTTCCACGCTCTTGTAAAAAAGGAGGTGACTCTATGAAACTCCCCCATAGTGCCAGTACATAGCCCAGCAATATCCCAGGTCACTTACTTTGATCCCTCATGAACGGTGCAGGAAGTGCAAACCAGTTGTGCGTCTCTTCCCAGGTTCCTGTGTGGTAACTGGTTTTATGAGCTTTGCCAGAGGAGGTAGGACTCTGCTCTGCTTGAGGCCTGAGTCACAGTCTCTGGAATGCTGGAGCTCTTTGTGTGCTGTCCTTTTCATCTTCCTCTGGGTAGTGTTCAGCATCTGGGAAGCGTCTCTTTCCTGCCTGTTGACACCAGTAGGGAAGCAAGAAGACCTAAGCAGGGGCTCACTCAGGCAGACGGGGGTAGTGGCAGAGCCACTCACCTGGCATTGGGGTTCTCTTGGGACCCGGCTGGCTAACAACTGATGGCGGCCAGAGTGTCCTGGCCTAAGCGCTTGGACATTATTCGTGTATTAGTACTAAGATGTCCAGGAGTTGTGGAGCAAAGAGCTACATGGCCTTCATGGTTAAAATAGCAGAAGTTGGCCCACCCTGGTGGCGCAGTGGGTTAAAGCACAGCATTAAGAAGCTAAAGCCACTTCCACATGAGTTCGATTCCCGCCTGCCCCGAGTTGACCACATGGTGTGGCAGACCTCTCCTGACCCACCCGCTGCTCCCCTCAGCAGTGTACTTCATAGATCTGCCTGTTCTGCTCCCCACTCTGTCTCTGGTGAAGCCTCTCGCCGCCCCTGAGCCTCTGGCCTGTACTCCAGTTCTGTATGCACAAATAAATAAATATTTAAACCAAAAAATAGCAGAAGTTGGCCAGAGAGTGCTCTACCTCAGGTCAAGGCAGTAGTAAATGAAACAGAGACACTTAGTCTCTGATGAAATGACTCAATAGTTCCATTATGTCACCTTGACTACTTTCTGATAAGATTCAAGATACGACAAGCCCAGAGATCTTTGTAGAACATTTAGTACTGGAGAGGACACTGGAGTCTCTTCCCCTCATGCCATCGTCCAGCAGAGATCTCTTGGTGTGGGGATATTTGGGCTTCATTCCACCCAGATTTATCTTTTGTTTAAGCAGATTGTTCTAGATATTTAAAGGACTGAAAAGGAGTCCCCATTGTGGGGGACTGTGGCCGAGATTGGAGGGTTGGGTGTATTTAGAAACTCACGATAATTAACCAAATGATTCTTCATGGGGTCTCCCATTAGGGACTCTTAGCTGATACTCACTGCTTTTGGATTCCTATATCCAGCAATACAGCTGGGTAATTCCTTTCCAGAACATACTGTGCTTTCTCTGGAAAAGTTTATTTTGTGAGTAAGTACTACAATGATATATTCAAATAACTTAAAAGGGAAAGTAACCCCCCTTACTTCTAGTCTTGAGGCACCCCCTGCCCCAGCAGAGATGATCACTGATAATAGTTTTCCCCTAGAGAAGGTGTAGAGAATATATAGACTGGAAGACAAC